TTTTTCGTGAAAATTCTGGCCATTCATTATGTATAGAGAGCACGTTTCCGAATTGTGCGGCATAATCAGATTCAATCTGTAAAAATTATTCAAAATAATCACACACATGTTTTCTACGAACTGTTAAATGTTACAATATTACTGCTAAAATATTCACTAATGTGTAACCCAGCGGATGCTTCAAAATCGGCCATTTCGTAAAAAGCAGATAAACATTTCCATCCCATGTAGCCATATCCTTTATTCTAGCAAATCGACTTGCCTCCCAATGTTCAACAACATCAGACCACGGTTCTCTATTATGTTGTAACCATTGCATGTGAGATTCGCACACTTTTAAACCTATCAATGTGTATACATGTATATGTATTATATTATATTTTGTCATTTATATATTTTTTTAATTAAATTTTTTAACACCTAGCATTAGTCAACGCAAAGAAAATATTTGACTTACGTTCAGTATTCATTTCATATACAGCGTCAGTTATTAGTGAAACTGTTGTACTGTTACTTTTTTTGGTCCTTACATTTATTGTTAATCCAGAGGTCATACAGTCTTTGCGATTATTGCGATATCGATCGACAAATATTCCTTTACTTATTTTTTGATACTTCCCTTCTTGCAATGGTGGTACATAATAAATTTCCATTTTTTCTTTAAAATACGCAGCTACTTTGAAAGCAAGCTCTCTAATGTGTATATTTTTTAGTTTAAGCCTAAATAATAAAAATTAAAAAAAATAAATATGGTTTTATAATTTACATTATTTTAGATGTTCTACTTAATACCATTTAAGTAATTGAAATATTTTATTATACGTTTAAACATATATATTTTATTTATTTAATGCTTTTTATTGCTTACGGATATGGTTTATTCATAATAGCAATTGATAAATGTGTCATAACGACATCTGCTAATTTTCTTCGTATTTGTGTGTTTAATTGACCATACTTTTCATAATGATTTAAAATTATAAGACCAGTGGTAGTTTCTTTTAAGAATTTTTCTAGATCCTACAAATCAAAATTTAAAATTGTTTAAAATCTTTATGAGTAAGAAACTTATAAGTAAAGAAGTATTTTGTAATCAAAGTTTGCAAGATAACAAGTATCAATTCTTCAAATATTTAACCAAAACAATGTAGAAAAGAAAGTAATACGTTAAATGTAAATATGTACCAGTTGATGAATTGCCTCGAGAAGCTGTAATTCGTCTAAATCATGTGTTTCAGATTCTATATTTTGGTTGTTTTCGTTTTGTTCTTTTTGCTCGATTTGTTTCTGACCATATGAACAAACCTGTTCCTTATCAATGTCTTGTTCAATATTCTCAGTTATATGTACGTTATCAATAGTTTTACGATTTATGTTTTGATCGATGTTAAGACTATATGTTTTGGATATATTGCTTGTATTTTTCATATCCGCAGAGCTAACCGATGTGGATGCTGTATCAATGTTAAATGGTATTGCAATCTCCTATGCAAAAATATAATATCATATTAAAATAAACTCTATAAATTATTCAATATATTTATTTAAAAAAATTGTTTCTTTTAACAAATTAATCCCAAGTGTAATAAAATAACATTCCATTTCATTTATATTAAATTATTAATATAATTATTATTACATTCATATCAAATTTTATTAATATAATAATAAAACTAATTTACCTTTTTATCGCAAATTATGTCGGCTTTAAATCTCGATTTTAGAAACTCTTCTAAATTTTCTTCAAATTTAATTCTTTTGCCTATTTTAGGTATAAGTATTTCAATGTTTTTTGAGCCAGGTTTTAACCGTAGAAATGAATGGAAATCAATTTCTTCACCTATTTATCAAAAAAGTGCTTATTTACAAATTCAAAATTGTAAATTAATTATTTATTACAATATTATTAAACAGGTATAAACTTTATCAAGAAAAGAATAAATTTCATTTATTTTTTTATTTTTTATTTTACGCCTTCTAGCTTTACATAACCTTTTATTTTATTTTTATTAGTAATTCGAAAGGACGATAATTATACATAATTACTTGGCAACTCTAGCTGCTTCGCCAGCTTGAACGCATTCATTGTGTATCAAACTAAAAACATCGTACACCATATCTACCGAATTTATCGAAAAAAATTAAAGGTTATGTCATGTCGTGGCAAGGTCATTAAATATAATGAAGGGCTGCGTTCCGTTTCATTCGATCCTTATTTAATATTCGGTCAATAAGATAAAATGATACATCATTCGCATCATGCATGAAACGGAACGCAGCCCATTGCAATAAGATCATGTAAACACTACAAATTTTTACTTACTTGCAAAAACTTCTATGAGATCTGGAAAACCCCAATGTTTTAATATTGTTTTAACTTGCTTATCCATAATAAGAAGTTGTGAGAATTGAAAGGTAATGTTAATTTTATCACTCGTACGTAGATCTTTCGTCCCGTGTCAGTAATCCGTATCAATCTCATCAATCCGTACTCTTTCACAGTTCACGCTGTTTTCGCATGTCCGTACCATGTGGCATGTCCATACGAGTCCTATCCCCTCCACTCAGCAGCATGCGTACGAAAAGTAGCGCACATAACGCCAAAAATTAAATGTAGTAGACTCTAACACAATAAAAAAATATGTGATTAGGGAGTGACGAGCTTTTATTATGTGTTACAAATTAGAGTAATTATATCTACTACATTTCATTTTTGACACCTTGTGGTACTAGTTTTCATACGCGTGCTGCGTTACGCGGCACACCTTAGGACCGAAACATAATTGACATTGCAATAGAAAAGAAAGTGATTTTAAGGTTAAAGTAAGTTATTGAATGGTAGAAAAGAAATATATAAAGAAGAAATATATCAAAACACCGATCAAGTGTTTTTGTGGTCATTGTGTTTTTCTGTCTTCACAATTTTTTCACTATGGATGCAACAGTTGAAAATTTATTAAAACAGTGGGGTTTTACTGATCTCATTGAAATATTTGCAAGTAAAGAATAAATTCTATTTATTTTTGTCTACGTTCAGACAGTATTTTCATCTTAATTATAAATATAATTAATAATTAATTGTAATATAATTAATATAAATGTATTATATTTACATTTTTAAAAATTAATGCCATTGCTTACTGTTTTTAATAAATTAATTAATGATTCATTTTTTATAATTATTGTAAATTTGTAAAGCTATCATTTAAAATAATTTTTAATGTATAGGTGAAGAAATTGATTTTTTTTCATTTCAACGTTTAAAACCTGGCTCAAAAAACTTAGAAGTTCTTATACCTAAAATGGGCAAAAGACTAAAATTTGAAGAAAAGTTAGAAGAGTTTCAAAACTCTATATTTAATACAGAGATGATTTCCGACAAGGTAAGTTTATTTATATAATTAGTGGAATATATGGCTTGTCTTATATTACACATTGGATTAATTTATTAAAGGACTATTTATTTACATAAATTTAAATAGAAACAAATTAGGCAAGAATACTTATTTAAATATTTTTTATTACATTAATTCAAATTATTATAATAGCAATAATATACAAAATCGTATTAATAATTTATAAAATTACGTTTTAATATATGTATATATATTCTATTTATTTCACATTTGATTTTATATATAGGAAAATAAGATGTTAAATGAAATACCATCCGAAATAATTGATTTATCTGAAGCAATTATTCCTATAAATACAAATATTGTAACATCCGAAATAGTGAGTCCTATAATTATGGAATATGCAAGTAATGAAATTATTGATAACGTTCGTATTGAAAATATTGAACAAGATTCTGATAAGGAAAAAAATGTTCAGTCAAATATTGAGCAAAAAGAAAATAAAAATGAAGTTGAAGAGTCAATTGATCAATTACAGCTTCTTGATGCTATTCGTAATCTGGTACATATTTATATTTAGCATATTATTTAAAATAATACTTTTGTACTTTTTGCATTACAATAAAATGATTCAAGTTTTAAGAATTAATATATTACATTAAAATAAAATAAATTTTTTATTGATAGAACAACATTTATGTATAATTAATAAAAACTTTTTTCCTTTTGTGTAGGACATGGAAACATTTTTAAAAGAAACTAGCACTGGCTTTATCATTTTAAACCACTACAAAAAGCATGGCCAATTAAATACACAAATGCGTAAAAAATTAGCAGATGTGGTAATAACACATTTACCAATTACTATCACCAAGAAACCATATCCGTGAGTAAAATATAAAAAAAAATATACATATAAATGAGTATAAAATAATATAAATTATTGTTTACTTAAATTTATATTTGTTATTTAGGCTTGAATTGAAAAATATGCATATTAGACAGCTTGCCATCAAAGTAGCTGATTATTTTAAAGAAAAATCTGAAATGTATTATGTGCCACCTTTATATGAAGGTCAACATCAAAAAATTTCAAAAGGAATATTTGTCGATAGATATCGCAACAATCGTAGAGATTGTATAAAATCTGGATTGCTAAAAAGCAAAAAAAGTAATAAAGCATCGGAAACACTAATTGATGACATAAATGTGGAATGTAATTATTATTTTACTTTAATTTTTACTATATTGCATATCCAACATAACACTACATATAATATAATTATTTTTATTATTTGTATAAATATTATATATATAATATT